ATCAAACATGCCAGGCAGACATTTTGCCTATTGTTATGGGGAGAGTGTAAGCTCTATGGAGGCTACCATTTTTTATATCACAGACTCAAATTTATTTATTTAGATGGCAAGAACAATAGGTCCTCCGTCAGAAGAGCCCGCAAGTTCCAGAGCCACTTCATCATTCACTTTTAAGCATGCTTGGCAAAATGGACGAGGTGACGTTCAACCTAAATTTGTTTGTTTTGGTGTCACGCTTGATGTCCCATCTATATTTGAAGCTACACCTATCAAATACTTATTGCACATTTAAATGAGCACAGAGAAAAGATCCAAGTCTCACTGTAAATAATTAAATAAGTGCTTGAGTGCTAAAGAGAAAGTCAAAAAAAGAAGGCAGAGAGAATGACAGAGGCTTCATGTTGTAAGACCAGCTGCTGCTGTGAGGCGTTGACAGTTTGCATCTGAGCAAGTGTGTTAATGGCAGTATCGTTTGAAACATCTATGCCGAGTCGTCGGAAGCCGCAGCCCCCTATTTCACTCGACTTACCCATTTAAGTACATTTAGGAAATATGTTTTTACACTTTTTTCAGCACTGCCTTCCACCCCCTCTGGCAGACTTAGAGCTCCCCCTAGCAGGTCACAGCCTGCACAGGCTGCACTGCAAATGCAAAGTGGCCCAGTTCAGCATCCAGAGAAATGAAATAAAAACAAAGATGTTAGACTGCCTGAAGTCTAAACAAAATCAATAATATGAGAATTCAAAAAGGAAACATATTTTTACACCAGTTTAGTTTTAAAATGCAAATTTATAATTTATTCTAAATAAAATCCTATGTTTTTCAAATGTACTTTGAATATGCAAACAAACAGTATAAAAACATAAAACAAAAAAGGGAGACTATTTATAACGGATTTCTGCGGCTGCACACTTGTCTAGTTATTAACCCTGCTTAAAAAATAATTCTTCATTTAGTTACTATAATTAAATCTGACTTTTTCTATACAAACAGGTAAGCATGTATTTAAGTTCTGACATAAATTAAATTCTCTCAGATGTGATGACATAGAGTCATGACTAAAATTTATGTTCTAAATGTAATTCAAAGCAAAGTTCGGATAAAGAGAGTTTCCTGTGCTGGCAGGTCTAATGTCAAACATGCATCTTAAGCAAGAGCTGAAAATTTATGTTACAACTTTATAATTCCGCAGCTTAACTGAAGGAAAATTACCTTCTCGCCATCATCCGATTTCCTTCATTTGAAGATGACATCTGTTAACTCGCTTTTAGGTTTATTTTAAAGCACTGCAATATAAAATACACTACATGTGTGTGTGTGTGTGTGTGTGTGTGTGTGTGTGTGTGTGTGTGTGTGTGTGCGTGCTGACATGAAAAATTGTACAGGTGTCAAAATCTCTTTTAAATTCAGCCGGTTTAGTGATGAAATGTACGTATCCTTTTTATTATCTAATTGGCCTGAAAATATAGTAACTATTGAGGGTAACGTGTAACATTCACGAGCCCTTTTTTATTCAAAATAATCTGCTATGCATTGTACCTCAACCACTATAACAGGACATGCAATTCAAACGTAAATAAATAAAAATACACTAAACACTGCAACCGGTCGCATTTCACGCTGAACTAATAAAGCAGTGGCTTTATAGAAAATGTGTTTGAGTGGCGTAATGTAGCACACAACCACAGGCTGCTAAACCATTAAAACTACTGATGTACAGCATTGCAAAGTTTGCACACCGAGAACACATAAATTAACATGTGGACGTAAACTCCACACACACACACACACACACACACACACACTCTCTCTTCTGAACACTTGAGCAGACAAAAATTGCCTCTCATTTACTCGAGGCTAATCCAGCTAAGACAGCATGGTTAACAAAAGCTAAATACCACAGAAGACATGCTGACGAGCAGACACACACACACACACACACTCACACCCTTGTTTACAGCTTCAAATATGTCCTTAAAAATTTCACTTTTCCCTGACTATATTGTTGTTGTTTTTGTTTTGTTGCTTTGTTATTTGTTGATGTTTTCTTGTATTTGTATGATCTTTGCATATTCTAATTAAATAAATAAATAAATAAATAAATAAATAAATAAATAAATAAATAAATAAATAAATAAATAAATAAATAAATAAATAAAAATCCTATACAAAAAAAATAAAAAAATGTCACTTTTGAGGTCGGGACCACATTGCAATTGACCTTGACATTTAAATGCAAAATGTGCCTATTACACGGAAATATATATCAAATTTCACATACTTTTTCATGACCTGAAAGAAGCTATTTCACATATTGAAGCCCATATCAAACAGAACACGAATGAGCAAGCTGGCACAGGGTGTTTGAACACACACACACAGACACACACACACTCATGCCAGCGTGCATGAAGAGTTCATACAGTGCACACTTCGAAGAAAACACTCGTTACATCAAAATCATAGCCACAAACATCAGCATGTGATGAGAATTGAGAACTATGAGGATAGAACGCAGCCCTGAGCGCAGATGATATCTGCTAGCACCTGGCCTACATGCCCTCTGCATAAAAACCACTAAGGCATGATACGTTTGAGGAACCTCTCTGAAGTTTATATATTCATTCACCGGTGATGCAATGAACACCTTTCAATCTCTGGTGTCTAAAAAGGAGAAAGTCGACCCCCTTCCTTTCTCTCTCACTCGCTCGTGTTAAAAAAAATATACACAAAAGCTTGACGTCTAAACTGGCGTCTGCTGTACTCTGTGCATGTCTGCGTTTGTGTTCGTTTGGTGTGTGTGTGTGTGTGTATAGGTGTGTGTGTGAGAGAGAGGGAGAGAAAGCACTCAGGGAAAGTTCTTTGGTGTAACTGGAGCATTCTGAAATTTAAAGCCCAAATTAATAACCACAGCCATTGTACATGCAATGACTGATGGGACATGTGATAACTATAGCGAGAGGAATTGAAAAAGGGACGTTTTCTGCTCGAGCAGAATGATTGTTTTACATGCACATTGATCGGAGGGTTTTATGCACTGAAAAAAAAGGGGGTTTGCATGCATGCACATGCTGGTGCACGAGGAAAATATATAAAACCGACTGTCACAATTGCATACATGCAAAAAGGGACGCCATGCCCTGTGGCAAACCGTGCAATGCAAGCCAGATAATGTGAATTAAGCTTTCAATAACATCTCCATTCTAATTCGGTTATATGTCATAGTCATATTCATAAGACTCAGTCATATTTGTAAACTCGACAGCAAATTCAAACACACATTGCAGAGGCATGCTAAATGTTTACAGTGCGACCGCGTACATATGTGTACGTACAGTAACAGATTAAGCCATTAGCGAAAGAATGGTGTGTGTTAGTGTGTATATGCACAGCAAACATGGCCCTAACTCTACAACACAAAACAGATTTGGGTGGCATTACATCACTGGGCTCTGCTATGAATTATCTATGCTCTGTAGACTGTGCTTAAGGATGAATATAAAACTAAATCTGGATGGGTTTTATAGTTTTTTTGAGTTATCTGATTTTTGTTTATTGCAGGACAAATATAGACATTTTCATATTGGTTGCTGAATATGTGTGTGTATTTATATTTATTTTGTCTCCTGCAATTGTTGTAAAAGTGTCTAAAATCTAAAAGCAGGAAAAGAATGTAAGCTGTCTGTGTTTGGAACTAAAGTCATGACTTCTGTCTTACTTTACCTACACTTAGTCACAACCTTCACTCGGAGGCAAAGCCAAGTGTCAGAAACATTATTAGACCTGCTTTGTTTCTTTGTATGCTTTGTATGCTGATTTTAAAAGCTGTCGTTTTTCCACACAAAATGTAAAAAGCAATGTATAAAAAGTTGAATTGTGCAAGAAGCCAATTAAAAAAAAAAAGCTTTGTTTTTTAGTATAACAGCTTAAGTAAAAGCAAGCTTGACATTTGTATAAAATAATTTAACATCAAGATGACAAATTAATTTCACTTTAATTATTTTCTTTGTTTTGACACATTTGCATTCAGGTCTAACACTTGGAAGCAGTTATATGTCATTATTGCAATAAATTGTAACTACTTAAAAAAGAAAAGCTCATTGCAACCGTGTGTGCGCTGCGAAATCAAAACCTTTAACCGTCCATGTGCTTGGTGGTTACAGGTAGCTTCTCACCTTCAGTACAGAACTATTTCAAATGCCTTGCAAAAAGTGCAAAAGTCTAGTTTAAATCGAAGCATGAAACATTGTTACAGTGCATCATGATTTGGAAAGACAGGCCTACAAGTTCAATGTATCACTTCAACAAGGAAATGTTTTAAATGTATATTTTAAATTGCAATAAATTATTTTAATGATCAAACATATTTTAATAAACTGTCTAATTGATATATCTATATTAAACCAGAGAAAGTAAAAATATATTACATTCAGTCTAAATTAGCATAATTTATTAAATTATGCTTATTTATTAAGATAACCCACACCTCATTAAACTGTTTAGTTAACATTACAAAACTTATCAAATACTTAAATAAAAAATGCAATGTAAAGTTTCAAATCTAACCTCATGGCCTGCTAACAATTGTTAGATTAATCCAAACTATTTGCTATTAAAATCAAACAACATAACTGGGAATAATAGTCTCTAAAAATAGAGACTTAAATAAAAGATACGTTTAAAATAAAAAATAAAAAATTAAAAAGAGTTAGCGTAGTTCTTCTTTTTTTTACTTTTTAATTCTTTTAAGCAACACTAAACCTGTAAATCCGACTTTTTGCTTAAAGCAGGAATTAGAAATTCATTAAGAAATAATTTAACTAATTTAGCTAACTTGGTGCGTTTCATTTTCCTGCATTTAAATGAATTAACGCATTTTAATAAAAGCCGTTAATTAATAACACTATAAAACTCTTTAGTACAGATCGTTCCTCTCATCACAAAAAATGGTCAAACGTCCTCTTAATACACAAATAAGTAAAACATAAAGACAGACTTACGTGTTATAATTTCTCTTTGCGACAAATGCTGAGGGTTTCCCTGCTTGCGACGGGACATTGCCCTGGCATTTACACTGGCATCGCCCAGAGACCCGCACAAGGAATAGTCGGCTAGCCTCTTCGGTCCTCCGTGTCCGTGGCGTGGGCTTTTTCCCCCCTCGGCAGCAAACTTTTCCCGGGACTTCCAAAGAACTGCCACAGTTCCGAGCCGAGATAGAGATAGGGGTCCCGTGAATGTGAGAGAAGCGAAAGTGTCTTTGCGCTCCGGCTCTCCAGATGACCAGAGACGCGCAGACGCTCAGTACCTCAGCGACACACACATGCACTTAAGCGGTGTGCCGAGCGCGATCTGTCCGAGGGCGAAAATATCCTTGACGACTGACAGTTGTGCAGAAACCACTGGAAATGTCTTGGCGTGTAATGCCCGGTGCGTTTGGAAAGGTTGGACCCTCTAAAGTGTCTCTCTCTATATATCTCTCTTCGTCCTGTGCCTTGTGGATGAGTCAATTGTTTCGTTCTGAGTCCAATTAAATCTAAAAAAGAAAAACGGTCATTACTTATTAGATTGGATGAAATGAATCCAATTTCTCCTTGAGTTGGCACTTGAGCGTGCCAAGCACTGGACAGTTCTTCTTCTTCTCTCCTGGGCTCTAAGTGCATGCGATGCCCGGTTACTTTGCACTCTCTCCAACTCTTTGCACTTGCTCCCCTATTCGGCTTTGCGCACTGGAGACCAGGGACATGGACTTGCCACCTCCTTTCCAAATGAATGAAGCTTTTTTTCTTCTTCCTTTTTCTGCCTGTATGAAGATGGCGGAGTCCTGCTTCTCCGGGAGCTCTCTGTGTCTCTGTGGCGAGGGCTGCCTCCGTACAATGGGATAAAATTCAAGTTCAAGTGCGGACGTGACGTTAAGTCTACAGTGGGAAAGAAAATTGGAGACTGCAAGAGCACTGGGGGCGACTAGTGGTGGCTTTTCACAACTATCGGATCACCAGAACAGTGGTGGAGAGCGTGGACATCGCGAGCCGCTGTATTACACACACACACACATACATACACACGCACACACACACACACACATACACGCGCACAAACACACGGCACCTGATAGACCGGCGCACTGCTTGTCTGAATCTGCTTTACAAATAAAACAATGCGCTACAACGATGCAATGAATTTAAAGGGGGAAAAGCTTGCACATGGCTTTTATTTAAAAAAAAAAATGCGTATGAATGTGCATGAGATATTTTATGCATGCAAATAAATAAATAAATAACTGAATAAGAAGATTTTGAAGTTGACTTTCAGTCTTTAACTGTAAACATTAAAATCAGTAAACTCAGATTGAAAGCACGGATGGATGCACGGAAATACACTTCAGCGAGACATAAGTGTGATGTTTACCTCATAAGCAATAAATTACACGAGACAAGACAAGCGCTGATATACTCGCACATCACATTTCTTCTTTATGTGTTTTATGTCCTACAGAAATGACATTATTAAATTAAAGCGACATTTGTGGAAGGAGGAAAATCAGAAGGGAGAAAAATATTGTGATGTGTTCAGTCTACATTTCTTAATCCTTTCTAATGTACATTTTTATCACTTGAGTCAACATATTAGTGTCTTTTAAGAAAAATGAGATCAATGAATACTAGACTGTTGCGCTTGTGGAAATGCAAGACTGAATACTAAAGGAAACGAAAACAGGGAGGTGTGTTGTGCAAATACTTGCATGATTTGAGTTTACTGAGTGAAAATGCAAGCCATGTTTATTTGCTTCTGTTTTACACTCCACGTATATGAAAGCGGATCAGTTGGCTCAGAATTTATTTATTTTTTTATAGTTTCTTATTGTGATTTAGAAGCTTTAAAGCAGAAAGATGATTTACTTGAGATTCAGCGCGAGTGAAAATATAAGCCAACAGTTCTTCAGTTTTTCTTTTAGGCTCAGCTACATTTTTAATGTCTAATTCAAAATCATTTTTGTTTTTTGTTGTCAATTTTAAATCAGTTTTGGTATTGGTGTAGGTTATTAAAACAAGATATTTAGAAGGTTCTAAAGGTTTTTTTTCTATTTAAAACCTTTATTTAAAAAATACTATTGACTGACATGTTGACAAATGACACACTGTGACTATTGCTAATTAAAACCAATTCACTTTTGGGGAAACAAACTATTTTTAAATGCAGGAAATTACCTGTAATCACCCTTGTTTGAAAGTCTTAGGGTTAAACTGGCGTTCTCACCGATGTCACAGTATATAACCAGCTAGTTTGTTCAAATTGACATTCCAATTAAAAAATTATAGGTCACACTTTAGTGTTCATAAATGTGTTAACACCGAGGCAAACTAATGAACTACATGCACTAAATGTGTAATTATTTTCTAGAACTGCGTGTAATTAGGCATTCTTTTTGTTATTGCTATAGCATTTAATTATAGCTACGTGTAATACGTGAACATGTTTAGTGTAAATTGAAACCAATTAGATACATTTGAAAACATGCTGCGGAAAAGTACGTTAATGGTATGGGATTGAAAGGAAAAGGACAAGTTATTACCATTTTTAATTCGCATGGAGACTGTATCTACCTTCAACAGTTGATGTATAATAGAGGCAAGGCACTACCAAAGGCGTCCGACTTGTGCCAGTTTAGAGGCAGGTAGTTTTCAGGCGAATCGCCCAGATGAGAGCGTGTCTGCGTCGATCCATCTGCTCATGATCCATCATAGGAGGTGACGCTGGGTGGCACAGCCTCGCCAACAATGCCATATATCCTGCCACTGTCTCTGATAAAATCTCCACCCTGAACTCTGTAAATAACAATAACTTTCAGAATCATTTTTTTGAGGATAGATAGATTGATAGATAGATTGATAGATTGATAGAATGATAGATTGATAGATAGATAGATAGATAGATAGATAGATAGATAGATAGATAGATAGATAGATAGATAGATAGATAGATAGATAGATAGATAGATAGATAGATAGATAGATAGATAGATAGATAGATAGAGTTGACACATATCAAGGAAATAACCAGAGTGATTTTTATTTGAGGTGTTGTCAAAAACAGAAGACATTTTCACGATTTACAAGAGTGTTTAAAGCTAGAAACATCCTCTTCCAGGAAATCAAGACTGGAGGAGGTTGTTGCTGATACGGGATGTGCTAGTGCTGGATTATTCTTCCTATAAAAAAGCATGAAATGTTCTCTGAAAGACAGTGTTGCTCACAGCTGTGAATCCTGTTTTATTGCATGAATTCATTGGACACGTCCTGTACTTTGCATTGAATTATGTCAATACATTTCTCTGTAATGACAGCTTTGGCTCAGATCACAAGTAAGAAACTCTGTGCACCAACTTTGTAAGCCATACATTACCAGAGAGAATGTGTGAATGGTGTATTTGGTTCTTGTCAGGAAATGTGTGGAGACAAATGTGGAGTCAGAGCATCTGATATGATGATTAAGATAAAATGATGCATTAATACACTTGATTTCTGTTTGTAAATGTTCTTGTAATGCTAATAACATTTCCTGCATTTCCTCAAATGATTATGGCTAATTTGGCAACTTTATTAATTATTGATTTTTATACATGTGCCATAAAAATGAGTGTATGCATCTCCTAAAATGAGTGTATGCAAGTCCTAAATTTGATATCATAAATAATTTAAAACAAATGACTAACAGACTAAAATGCAGCACAGACCATCTTGCTAAAAAATCTAATATTAAAAGCACAAACTTTAAATTGCAGTTTGCACCAGATTTTAAATCAGTGATGCTTTTATATTTCAGTGCTTTTGTCATTTATATGTAATGTAAAAAGCAGGATCCTAAATGCTCATATCTTTTGTTTCAGTCATAAGTGTGTCCAATACACTTGACAAGATGTATTTATTTGCAGTCTATCGCTCCTGTGCTGAACTTGCAATGCAACAGTACCCTCTATTGGCCAGTTACTGACACGAAGATTTACAAGCATGGGGCTCAAACGCTTAAAAAAAGCCACATTTGGTCCTGTGTTTAAATTCAGAGGTTTTGGTTAGAAATATTTCAGTTCTTTGCTAAGGTTAACAATAGTATTTTACTCTCTGACCCAATGATAGCGATTTTTGGCTGGTCAGATTTGCTTGGTTAACTGTTTAGGATGGTGTGATCATAGCTAAAAAAGTTATCCTTTGTTTCTGGAGAAACAAATGTTAGGCCTCTTTTTTTCTGACTGGCTTCTTGGACCCACTTCCATTTAACATTTGGTAAGAACTTGATATACCACTTCTGGGAACTCTGCAAATTTTGATTACATTTTGGATCTAGTTTTTTTTCCTAAAACACCATAAACTTGTTTAATTTCTGAAGATTTGTAAGTGTTTTTTTCTCTCATACTTTTGACATCCATTGCTGTGAATTTTTGTAGGTCATATATGTCTTGTTTGTCACCATTTTCCCTTCATGCTTTATTTTACATTTTGCAAAGATTATTGTTTCATGATGGGTTTGTCTGTCTGTTTCTTGTTCTTCTATGTCTGCAAAAACAATAATAAAACTATATAACTATATATTTAAAAACAAACAAAGAAAAAGCCACAATGAAACAACTAAGTTAATTTGGAATTGCAAAATGTATTGTTGAAATTTAGTTTTTTTTTTTCTTCTGAAAATGCTGTTTTCTCTTCATCTGTTGTATTTAACTTAAGAAAGAAAATATAAAACTACATGTAAATAAAAAAATACTTTTTAAGTGAACCATCTAGCAAATTTCGTTCATTACAAATGAAATTAATTATGTTTAAAGTCTCTTCAGCTTTGTATTATAGACTTGTCATATCGCCACCTTGGAATTATAAGGCTCTATCTGCGGTCTGAATGATTTTGAGATTTTGAGCTTCAAAGTTTTCGCATTCCAAAGCAAACAGTATGTGTGTAAAATTTTTTTTTTAAATAAAAAGTCTTAAAATGTAAATGACTTATTAAAAAAAACATCCCATAATGTAAAAAAAGTTGTCATTTAATAACAATATGTCAATAACTTAATTTTGACAAAAATGTCAGATAGAACCTAAGGTGACAATATTTTGAACAGTGCAGTTTATTCACTTTAAGCTACTTTCCTGTTTTTCTTTTTTTTCATCATGATGACCAACATTAAATGATGAATTGATACACTATATTTCTGTTGATCGTAAATTTGTTTTCAATGTTAACAAGACTGTCTGTATTTTCTCAAATGTTCATGACTAATCTGACCTTTTCATTAATGGTTCGTTTAACGTATTTTCATACATGTGCCACTCAAATTCATGTATCTTTGAAATCAAAAATTATTTACAACAAATCACTAAATGGCTAAAATGCAGCACAGACCACCTTGCTCAAAAATCAAGTATTCAAAGCACAAACTTTAAATTGTAGTTTACACCAAAATTTAAATCAGTGATGCTTTTATATTTTAGTACTTTTGTCATTTAGATTTGCACTTTTTTTTCTCTCTCTCTCTCTTTTTCTCTTTACATCCATTGCTGTGTCTTTTTGTAGGTCCTTTATGTTTTGTCTTGCATGTTGTCGTTTTCCCATTTTTCATGCTTTATTTTACATTTTGCACAGATTAATGTTTCATGATGGGTTTGTCTGTCTTGTTTTTTTTTTCTGCAAAAACTGTAATAAAAAATAATCAAAAGTAAAACGCAACAAAAAAAAACTTTAATTTTAATTTGGAATTGCAAAATATATTGTGTCAATTGATTTTTTATTTATTTTTTCTAAAAATACAAAATGACCGAATCGGCACACAGTTTCTTCATCTGATGCATTTAAATTAAGAAACTAGAGAATATAAAACTGCATACAAATAAAAAATTACTTTTTAAGTGGGTGATCTAACAATTTTCTTTCATTACAAATTAGATTAATTATGTTTAAAAAAAGAGAAGTCTCCTCAGTTTTACAGTATTGACTTGCCATATGTTGAATGGTGCAGTCCATTCACTTCAAGCCACTTTCTTAGTTTTACTTGACATTTTGTCATTCCTCAAACATAAATGATTCTTGGGAAAAACCCACAACACATTAACAAACAACAAACATCCTCAATGTGATTCCTCACAGAGAGCAGTTATTAGTTATTAAAATAAACATTCTGATGAAAACGGACAAGTT